CTCATAGCCTGAAATAATTTTGCAACAGGGAACATCGTCTTCACTACTCACAGCCATTATTTTATCGTTATTCTTTATTAACATATTAACATGCATTACAAGAATCAATTGCGTAAAATGAGTCTTGAGGTGTGACTTTGTAACCGCCTACATTGCTAATTTGAATAACAAAGATTGCCCTATTCCAAGGTGTCAATATTTTGCACAACAAAGTATGTGTATTGTGGAACCCTCGTCAAATAAGTTTAATGAAGTGAAACACTAAAGGCTAACAAAGCATTAGATAACCGCTACCGGGAAAAATTTTGGACAGCATAATTTGAAAATACATTGTTATGGCCTGTGGCTCGTCAAGTAGATAATTCGGTACTTAATTCAAAAAGCCTAGAAATAAGTAGTACTTGAAATGATAAGACATGAGATGACGTAGGACTATTATAGAGAGAGACATAAAAGTTCAGAAATTAATAAAGAATGTAGATAATATTCGTTCCCGCTTCTCAATCGTTCCACATGCCTTTTTTTTTTTTTTTTTAAGGGGGGAAAATCATCGAATGACTGCCCCCGCCTGGGTGAGGCGGGAGGGAGTGTCAGACTCTTACTGACTAAAAACCACCCCGTTCCTTCTCCTGCACGTCGAGCCGGAGCCCCGGTTACCCGTTAGGTTCTCCGCGACTCCGAATCGGCATCGGCCCTATTGGGCCCCATCTGTGGTGGTCTGATGGCTCTTTGAGGCGCGCGCGGAACGCGACGCGCCGCACGCTCGGGTCTGTTTCTGGTCGGACGGGGAGCCACCCATGCTCGCCGTCCGCAGGCCCGCGCTTACGGTGGCCGGAGATCGTCCCGCGATCCCCGACGCCCGGTGTGTCCTTCGCGATGGCTGGGTTGCGAGGAGGCAGCGCTTCGCTGCCTCACGCGTCCCGCCTCCTCCTTAGCTAGCATGACTGCTTCGCAAAAGGAGGAGACGGCATCCCAATCCCCCTCGCTCCGCATCATGGCCTGCACTAGGCCCGGACGCGGTTCCACATGCCTAGGGCGCGGCCAACTAGTTTCTCAGAGCATAGTTAACTAGTCGTCAATAAAATTATGCAAGTAAGTTATAGAGCTTATATTGTAACTGATATTTTTCAACGATAACTCTTGATACAATCAAAGAACAATTACAGTTTCTGATATAGTAAGTACCTGTTACGAAAGACTGAAAGTACATATTTATAAGTAACAAAAATCGTTGCTCTATGGATAAAAAGCAGTTGTAGAGGTGTTGGCCGAAAACATTCACGACTGATGAGATGAACATCTCCAAGCACAGTTCCGAGTAACTAACAGTGTCTACTTGGATGGGCAAGATTATGTTCACAAAGCCAAATAGATACCGAAAACCTGAAATCTTCGTGATATCCCGTAGGAAAATAATACTGTGAAATAGCAATCTCAAATGTCTTTCCAATAAAAAGACACTGAATAAGCAAGGAATACAAAAATAAACCAACGGCATCACAAAAGCAACTCATACGTCAAATGTTAAATTAGTTCACAAATGGCACATACTTGGTGTCCGTCTAATGTGGGAACGCATTTTGTTTAATAACAAAGACTATGCTAGGTGACGTCAAGTTAGCGGTAAAAATAATTAATAATGTAGTTGTGCGGTTCAATTGTAGAGTTTGAGCAAGGCCGATTTATACAAGGAAAAGTGTTTAAAAACATCACATTAATCGTGTTTATTACCTTTAAGTAATTAAAAAGAATAAAATTCATTATCTTCTTACCGACCAGTATTAAGTAATTTCTCATTAACTTAAGACAATACTTTTTGTGTGGTTCTCTATCTTGGAGTCTTTATTTTTTTCTCCTATTAATTTTCCTATAGGTTCGTAACAATGAGGGAAGTTCTCTCGTTGTTTTCCTGACATTTATTCCAGTAGTAAATTAGGAACTTTACTAGAGAGAAGGTGTCACCACGCCTAGTCAGCTGTCCTATTATCAACCTTACTTGAGCGGATACTGTCACTAAACTTTAGCCTTTTTGCCCCAGTTCGCACATCGATAGCAAGAGTAACTAAAGTGAAGTTTCCTCCATACGCGATTTAATATGGAAGTTAAGTTTAACGATATTAATTGGCCTACGATAAAATCGATACAGCTATCCTTACTATCCTTACTAATCTTTATCCTTACTAATATTATAAATCTGAAAGTGAGTTTGTTTGTTTGTTCCACCATCACGCCGTAACTACTCAACCGATTGCTTTGAATTTTTGCAGACGTAAAGTTAGAAGTCCGGATTAAATAATAGGGTACTTTTTAACCCGGAAAAAATTTATATTCCCCAGGAAAAACAAAAGTATTGGTATAGATGGCGCTCTGTGTATTGGTATATATGTCACATAGGCTACTTTTTATTCTTTTGTGACGCGAGCGAAGCCGCGGGTAATAGGTAAATATAAATGAAACTCTGTAATCTATATGCATTACTCGTGAACATCTGCACCAAATTGTATAGATAGAACAAGTTAATTCATTTTTGCAGTCTGGACAATGTTTGAAATTGACAAATAAATCGGGAAAAGTCAGGGAATAACTAACTACTAAGAAATTGTTGTTTCATTCAATAACTGTATTTACGTACGTCTATTAAACTGCACAAGGGTATTGTACACACTGCAAACGTTTAATAAAACGAGCAAAGCACTCGCAATTCTACCAAGATTGCCGTTACTTATGCAGATATAATTTAATGCTACTGATGTGAAGTCAACAAAGCAAATGGCACATTATTTAATACTTGAACCAGTCCCGTTTGAGAGACCTTGCCGCCGTCAACATTGAAACGGTATCCGTACCGTAAACATTTTATAATAGTACACAGCTTTAACGCATTGGCTTAAATTAAATGAGAATGATGTCAATTTGATGCAAATATAATACAGAACTTGGTCGGTAGTTAAGATAACTACTTTCAAAATAGAGATTCAAGATGTTCACATATTATAGTAGGTAGGTAATATAATTTGTACGGAGCCATTTCTTTATTTGGCCAATTTAGTTAGAGATGTGCTTAAGTAGTAACAAAACGAGTAGTTACTAAATAAATAGAATAACTAGGTGTAACAATTGCTAGTTTTGTGGTAGTTAGTGATTTAGTGACCTTTTGCACATCCTCTTTTCACGTAGCGATGCTAGATACAGTGCAGCAGATAGTAAAATATCAGGGCTGTGTGAGTACGTGCGAATAACTAGGAGTGTGTGAGTGAATTCGGTTTTACAGAAGAGGTCCGTGATTAAATTGTTATTATCACTAGTTAGTATAAAGAGGATAAAAATTGGTAATAAAACCTAGTCCGTCAGTACAGTGTGCTGTGTAAAATTTAGCACAAATGGATAGGAGATGGACGTAAAGGGATAGGAAAAAGATGATAGACAGGTGGAAGGTTATCTTGTCTACTTAAAAGATTGACATTTATGTAGACTGGGGAATCTTGGCACTTAAATCTGGGGTTTAAGAAAAGAACAACCAGAATGTCGGGCTGGCTTATATGTTACATCTTCTTTGTCGGTTACGAATAAAGCTTTAAATCGACTCCCACGTTCCCACCTGATACAGTACGATCTAGAATAAGTATTTTCCCATTAAATACACAATAGGGAAAGACGCTTAGTGCAGATTTGCAGCCGCGCGTGGCATTTGTGCAAGGCGAGGTCAATAGAAACCTCATGTGAGCAAGTCGACGTAATACTTTACTATTTATTTTATTATCAACACACAACGCAGTGATTTTTTTAAATTATATTTTTCGTAATATTGTAATTGTTTAAAAGCAAACAAATAACTATAATTGGATAGTTTGTCTAAGTAAAAAGTTCATTAAATACGGATACTTTCGGTATCCAAACAGGTCGGTCGGTGAATCATCGCACATCAACTTAATGTTAGCTAAACAAGACATTTATTGCTGCTATTACGCGGAACGACCATAACGACGATAGTTTCGATAATAAGACCCTAATTATGTACCGAAAGATTATTTTGCTAATCGATATCAATTTGGAACATTTCACGTTATTATATCAGGTGACGAAATTGCACCTATTTATCTACCTACCTAGTTGATTTTTATATAAGCATGGCTCTTTGTCAGGAAGCCCATCCGTTTCGGTAGACATTACTTTCAAATAATATGATTTGTTGGTTTTTAAATTATATTTCTTTGACGTGTGTTTCGCACCTGCTTCGAACGTGAAGGCATGCGCTTGATGGATACCACGTTCGTTACACACGTACAGAATAATGATAACTGCAGGTATGCTAAATGTTTTAAGTATAGATTTTTGGCGACATCGCTAATACTTCTTTCGAAAGTTCTGTGAATATCATAAAGTAAAATAACTACACTAAGGAATGAATTCTAATACCCGATGTAGAGGTACCTACTCACTATGAATTTGAAGAATTAACGACAGTCTATTCAGAAACACAATGAGGATAAAAAGTAAGTGGTCTCTCAAACGTTCGAACATTCCACTTTCTCAGAGGTAAATTGAACAGTCTTATAACCAAGAACATGACGTAATCTGATGCAAAAAGCATTAAACTTCCTTTCTTTAAACTGTCAAACACCAAGCGGTCACCGGTGACCGCGACCCATTGTTCTTTAATTGTGTCTATAAAACCGGTACTCGACGAGTTAAACGACGAAAGTATAATCAGAATTTTATTTTCGACTGCAGGAATTGATATTTTGAGACATTGTTATTTTCACATAAAATATAGGTACTAAATACCTATTTATCATTAGTACGATAAACAGTAGATACTAGGTACATAGGTAAGTGCTTAAGTATCAATATTTTTGCCGAGAGTCAATCAAAATGGTCAGAGTATTACCATAATGACCGAATGTAATTAGTTCTGACTAACATAATTAACATAATGATGTTTAACCAAGTTTTTTAAAGAAGTGATATAAATTCACGATCATTCTAAAATAAATACTCACCATTTCGAGATACATCTAGTTCAACTAGGTTTTCAAAATTCTGAATGTCAGCTGGAAGTTTATGGATTTCATTGTCACTGAGACCTAGTCTTCTTAGTCTATGAAGTCTGAAGAAATTCTGAAACAAGCAAATAATATGTTATGATATGTTGATCATCATCATTCTTAAGTTTATTTACTATAGCTAGCGGTTGGCCTCTCCATGTGTATGTATATAATTTCTAGTTGGTATTGTATTAATTCAATGTGCAAAAAATAACCCATTAAACTGTCAAACACCAAGCGGTCACCGGTGACCGCGACCTATTGTTCTTTAATTGTGTCTATAAAACCGGTACTCGACGAGTTAAATAAAATTAACTTTTTAATACCAATATTGATACTTAACTAAAATAAATAAATGGAGAGGATTAATTTTAAGTTTCATGAAGAACAGTATGATTGATTTTAATTTTAGTACAACAAATTTAGTATTGTATTACATTAGCTCTATTGTACTTATTTACAATAACCATTATTGTGCACAAATACAATAATGTACGAAGTTGAAAACAAACATAATAGGTAGGTACATGATCATATAATTTTATAGAAATCAACAAAGGAATTGAGAATATCCTATTATTTATTATCAAATGAACCGAAATGCTATGATGATGACACTTATACATAAAAACAATTTAGATTTAGCACTTAAAATATAATAATTACAGTACAATAGATAGATCGACAAATAGTATCATCTTATACTGCCTATTATACTTCATACTATTAATATTTTATTTATATGAATAGAATGGTACAAAAACCACATCACACTCTAGCATTGAATTTAGGAATTGGTTTAAAAGTTTCATTATATGTGGTTATGGGGATTTAGCAAGATGGTATAACAAATAACTGGTGCTTTCTGTTGCAACAGGAACTGTCAGGAGCAGAATTATATGAAGCTGAAGAGTTGGTTGAATCCACTTATACACACTCAGCAAATACTAGTTCGATTGGAAAAAATATTTTTGTAAATAATAATGCTTAATAAAACATAATGCTACAACCAATAGGAGCAGCTAGTCCATAATATGGGGAACATTAATCTTACAGAAACTCGAAATAGTTTTAGTGTATTAAAAATTCAATGACTGTCACAAACAAATGATAAATCTTATATTCAAATAATGGTTAATCACTAGACAATTTTAAATAACTTAAAATGCATACCTGACTACTATCTCTGTAATTAATTGTTTATTTAATATTTATATTTATTTAATGGCACACTGATTAACATTATCTAAGATATGAAATAATAGACATTGTAATGATTGGATATTTTTATAAAACTATTTTCTCAACATATGAAAGTAGTTTTCAAAATTCTACAGTACTAGTACTATAACACAGACTTTTAACTTAAGAACTGAATAGTAATGATTCATTCCCTATTTGTCTTTGAATATTTACCTTATGGAATTTCAATATTCATTACTTTATACAATTTGTATAAAGCATATAAAACAGAGCCCGATCCATAAAATTATAATTACCTACTTATTTTCTGATGCAAAAACCAGTTCTCATAGAGATGTTTTTTTTTTCTGAAAGTTGGTCAACTAAAGAATCATTTTTGGCATATTATTACGAATAAGTATGTGCAACAAGCAATATAAACTTCAAAGGTTTGTGTAACGAAATGAACTCGTTATATTGACAGCAGTATAATGTTTGTACATCTTTAACACTTAAACACATGATTTATTCAGAGACGTGACTTCACTACATTTACCTACAAAAGTTAAAAAATATTATGAGAAGAACTTAACATCATCAGAACAAGCAATTTCCATTATTCTAAAGCATGGGAATCGTTACACTTACGTGCCAATAACATAGCTTGAGACGCATTGATATTATTTACACATAATCAGTGATAAGGTAAACGCCCACGAGTGTAACGAATCCTCCTATTTAGGTTACACATTCACTCACCTTCGGCAAATCTCGTATATGGTTGGCATCCAAAAAGAGTTCCTCTAAACTCCTGGAATATCGTAAAATGTCTTCGGGTATTGTTGGCAACGAGCAATGCCGCTTGTCTACACATTCCACTTGGCGATTACATTTGAACAAAGGTATACATCGAAACATGTTGGACACTACACTTCATACAAACTATTACTGAATGAATCACTACAACGACACATATTTGAGCACTTTCAAGAGTTTAACACTATTTCAGCATTGTAAAATTGATAACGATATCAAAATAATCCAAAAAACACAATTTACACCTCACCCTACAAAATGAAGCCACTAACTGTCAGAGTTGCCAGACAGACATAATAGTTAAAACTTCAGGCTTGTCATTGAAAAAAAGGTATAAATCTTTTTGGTAGTTTATTTTTACCTCATCGAATATTTTAATAAATGAATTGTAAATATCCTTATAATAAGGTCATTTTCAAAGCTTTAAATGTGTTAAAGAATCTTAGAATCGAAGTTAATGGCATATTGTAGCGCTAGCACCGTGGCAACACGAATTGGCTGTAAGCATTATTTTGTCAATACATTCGACAAAATACGACTATATAGAGATATATGTATTTCTGCCATAAATGTTAACTCTGTTCTCTAAATATATCAGTGTTGATTGTATTGGAAAAATTAAGTATTTCATAATAAATATTATGATATGCCATAATAATATTGTGTTCATTTTATTTAAAATTCGCACAGACTTATACATCAGATAAGCAGACTAAACATTAATTCCTAGCTATACCTATATGATATCCATCATTCTTTGTCCTTGTTCTGTCCAGCAACAACCTAATAATGGTGTCTCGTTCTTTTACCTGTAGCCACTTTGCTCCACACATAGACAAATTTTACCATTTAGCCAGGTTTTCCCTGCCGCCATATTGATAAGTTTTTACCTACAACTCTGTCGCTCTCGATTTATAAGATAACATTATTTGTTTAGACCATTAAACGTATAAAAAATATAAAATAAAATGGTAAAGTGCGTACCCATGTGACAGGTATATAGCTCTAAAAACATATCTGGGACAACCTTTCATCGGTAAATTTTTATTTACATTGTTATAAACTAAAACAAATAGTCTATTTTTTAAAATTAATCAACTATTTTGATGATGTGTAATCGTTGATAACGAAGCCTTATCAACTATCACACCATTTTCCCACAAGTTTACTTAGAATACAATGAAGAAAAATAATAATCAAATAAAATCAAATTAATTTTTCTATCATGATAGCTCAAGTATTTGTAAAACCAACAGAGGACGGATTTAGAATTTCGAAAGGTTAAAAACTAATAAATGTAAGTATTGTTTTCATATTGAGTAATAGTTATTACAAAATTGAATAATCTAACAGACCTTTTTTTTCAATAGTAGTTATTATACTTGTAATGGGTACCACGACTGTATACCTACTATGTATCAATTTTATCACGATTGCCTATTATCATCATAGAATATGATAATATACCTGAAATGTTTAGGAATGTGTAACAAAATTTAACATGGCGCTCGCTTCACTCCCTCGGACAGAAGTACAGGACAAAGAAAGAACTTGTCTTGGAAGTGGTCAGTGGTATTAAGGGGAGGGAGATGACTATTACCTGATATTTATTTACGTTAACCATAACGAGTGCCTTAACTCGTCGAGTACCGGTTTTATAGACACAATTAAAGAACAATAGGTCGCGGTCACCGGTGACCGCTTGGTGTTTGACAGTTTAATTAAAATTATTATTCTTCCTTTGATGTGTTACACTCGAAAAACCAATCTTTTATATATTTTCTATATTATGAGGATATTAACATTATTTAATACATACCTACGTATAAAAAAAACTATATTTTATAGAGTTCCTAAATTTCGAAATAATATAAATTTCCTAGGATTCCCGGTATCGGTTCTTCCGGTAACATATACAAACAAAAATATAGTAAAATTGGATATTTATTCAGTGTTTATAATTATTGACTATTTATGTGTTTTTTTTTTGGTTTCACAAATACGTAACATTTGGTCTGCTTCTCCTTATATGTCTGTGAAAATTCGGAACACATTTTAGTCTTTTAGTCCGTCTGCTAGCGCCATCTAGAAGATTCGATGTCACTTTATGTGTGACATCTGACATGACATGTGACAATTCTTGACAAGTTGCGCAGAGCGCACCGCGCAAGTCGAAATTTTTTCTGGCTATTCAGTCAGAAAAATCGGAAAATCAAGAGACTGACGTTCGAAGGAAAAGAAAAACATTGTATTTCCATTTAGTTTGGAAAGAGAGTTTCTCTAATATATCAGTCTAGTATTTTAATATCAGTTCCTAGTCGCTTTTAAACTTCGGTCCTTCTTTCTTTGCATACTTTTTATGGTTAAACGTCGACTGTCTTCTGCCGTGTAGTCACTAGTCCCCAAAAAGTTTTTCAGTAAAAATGGATTTCAAATTAGGATTTATCGGTGGGGGTAACATGTCCACAGCCATCGTTAAAGGAATCCTCAAGAGTGGTACTTATTATGTGTATAAATAGATTAGGTACTAAATAAAAAAATCACGATATTGTGTAGTTTCCGTGTCGAATTTGAATAACTAGTGAAGACTTTATGGATAAGTTAATATACTGCCTAAATAAAGATTTTACTTATTGAATATTATATTTCAGGTGTCCACTCTGCATCTAATATATGGGTGTCAGGGCCCCATATAGAAAATCTAAAACATTGGAGTGAAATGGGAGCTAATGTTACTACAAGTAACAGAGAAGTATTTAAAAACTGTGATATGATATTTTTGGGCATAAAAGTTACTAAATTGAACGAGGCTCTTCATGATATTCAAAGAAGTGTGAGCTCGAAAAAAGATGTATTGTTTGTGTCTATGTTACCAGGAATTGTTATAAGTGAACTTCATAAGGTATATTTTATCTCTCCTTTATGGTGATTAATATAGTATACCAGCTTTGCTTCATTTTAAACCAGAAAAAATATATGTACTACATGTTAAATTGACTAATAAAATCTGTGATCTATAATATCAATGCTATACTTATTGTGTACTCTTACTACTAAAAATGATTATCTTAAATTTTCAGACAATAAAATCATATCTACCACTTGTGAATGCCACTGTGATACGTATAATGCCCAACACGCCAATGACAATTGGTGAAGGTGTTTGTCTTTACACTCCAGATAATGAAGTATCAGATTCACAATGTTCAAAATTAGAGAAACTTCTTAGCAGTTCTGCGTTGTGTGAGAAAATTCCTGAATACTTAATGGATGCGTTGGGTGCATTGACTGCGTGTGCTCCAGCTTATGTAAGTTCTACAGTATAAAGTCTAACCATTTATTTTAATTAAATCTTAATTAGGCACTGTTGTCAAAAATTTTATTGTCCGTCCATCTGTCTGTCAGAGACGCGAGGCGCTCTTTCCAAAGTGTAGTTTCAAATGGAGAAGAACGAGCACGAAACTCCATCGTTACTCTTTAAAACCAAAATGTTTTTTACAGTCTCATTGATACATTATTTGATTCTTTACCTAATGTATATATATGTGAGAACAATGTAACAACAATTCAATGTCAAAATTTAATGAATCTACTCCTGAAATAAAATAAAAATCTATGAATGATTGTTTCAAACATGGTGCCCACTTATGTACACTTACCATTTGAAATAATGATACTACACAAATAAAAATCCTTGATGAAGTCTTTCAAATGAAAACAATAACAAATGTTTGATGCCACAAGATATCTGGATTACATTAGAAACTAATTCTTAGAGTATAAGCAACTACTACTACAACTTTTTACTCAGATTTTTACGTTTAGTAATCAAATATTTCATACTAGCTTTTACCCGCGGCTTCACTCGCGTCACAAAAGAATATAAAGAAGCCTATGTGACATTACCAATACACACAGCGCCATCTAAATCAATACTTGTTTTTCCTCAGGAATATCAATTTTTTCCGGGTTAAAAAGTACCCTATTATTTAGAGAGAGCGGTCACTGGTAACTGCTTGGGGATTTAGCTGTTAAGTAACAGAGAGTATAGTATTAATAATGTTCTGAATGTGACATGAATTTTATAAAATTACAGATGTATGTAGTGATTGAAGCATTGGCTGATGGTGCTGTGAAGCAAGGCGTGCCAAGGGCTACTGCAATGCGTCTCGCAGCCCAGATGGTAGTAGGCAGTGGTCAAATGGTGCTGCACTCTGGAAAACATCCTGGATTATTGAAGGATGAAGTATGTTCGCCTGGTGGGTCAACTATTGCTGGAATTGCTGCACTTGAGAATGGTAAACTAAGGTGAGTGGTCTCTGCTAACTGTACAGAGAGAGGGCCAAGTGCTATTTTGTTTTACGTAGGAATATTGCCGCGTGGCGTTCTGAGGGCTTAGTACGAGTTTATTTTACGTTTAAAGTAATCGAAGCGAGTACGCGTTCAGCTCTCTGATTGGCTGGCTCCCATGAACCAACCAATCAGAGCGTCAAACACAGTCTCGTTTCGATTACTTTTAACGTAAAACAAACTCGTACTAAGGCCACAGATTGGTAGGTTTATTAGAGCAGGCCAATCAGACTGCGTTCGGCGCTGTGATTGGTTGCTTCATTGGCGCCAGCCAATCAGAGCGCCGAACGCAGTTTCGTTTCGATTACTTTCAAAGTAAAACAAACCCGTACTAAAGCCCTCTTGTTTGAAGCAACAGCTCAATAAAAAGGTTAGCTACAAATGGTACTTAATTTAATGAATTAGAATTCAATGGACTATTACAACCATGTAATAGCGTTTTTATTTGAGGGGGAAATGATTGTGAATGATTGATTGTGACCAATGATTTGTCCTACCTGAGTGAGAGGAATGAACAAAAAAATTGCACTAAAGTGGCGTTTGGTTAGAGGTACATGGTTTGTTTTTAAAACAAAAAACCTATACTACAATTAAATTGTTGTCGAAAAGTGATAGCTCTGTTAAGTGCTTCAACATTTCTAAAATTTTGTAGTAATGTGTAAAATTCCACTTGTTTCAGGGCAACATTGATCAACGCAATTGAAGCATCAACTATTAGAAATAAGGAGTTGGGAAACAAATAAGTGCATGACAATTTATAATGCTTTACACATTAGTATTAAGGAAAATGCTTCAAATCTGGACACGTTATATACATAGTTTATTTTAGAAGCTTAAAAACACATTGGCGCCATGCGATTATACGAAGCAAAGACAAGTAAACAGGGGGAAAACAAACACAGATTAACAAATGGCATCCTGCACGGTTACCTTCCCAAGGAAAAACTAGATGGCGCTACTTGTATTACTGCACTTCAATGTGCTTTGAATGTTTAGTAAAGTTACCATACTTTGCGATCGCAATTGCACCTGAGTTGTCTTCATACAATTTTATTGGATTACAAAAGTTAATATCAAATGACTCACTTAACAAATTTCTTATAAAAAGTACTTCAGTTACAGCCTCTGACATTGCAACATACTCTTCAAAAGTTGAACATTTAGTTACTGTATTTTGTTTACGTGTTTTCCAAAATATAAAGTTTCCAAACAATCTTATACTAAAACCAGCAGCTGTAGCCAAATGCCATTTAGCGCTTGTCTACTTGTAGAATAGAAAAACAAATTATATGGATTTCACGTAAATTTTGACACTTGTCAGTGTCATCCCCGTACATTTAGTTTTCTACTCTCTCTCTAGACAAGCGCTAAAGTGGCGTTTGGCTAAAGGCCCTGATGTAGACTTCCCTTCTACATTATCTCCTGCATAGTCTGAATCTACCATAAAATCTAAAATATCAGCATCTGCATTATCATACTATGTTAACTTTAGATCCTTAGTTTTGTACAGATAATTTAACACTCTCATTGCATATTTGTAATGTGTTCGGTTATAACAACTTTGATATCTACTCAAATAATTAACACTATGTAACATCTGGCCATGTGCCTGTACTCATATACAATAATTCACCTATATATTTCTGTACTTAATACTTTCATCTACCTCATTAGTTAGTTCTAATTTTAAATTTGTTTCATAGGAGTATCATATAGCTTAGTATTTTCCAAATTATATTTTGCAGCCAAAGATGCAATATATTTTGTGTGACTTAATGTCATCATATTTTTATCGTCATTATATTCAATATTTATGCCAATATAGCTTTTAATTTTTCCTAAATCTTTCATTGCAAAACTTTTCATTAAACTTGCTTTTACCTCATATATTTTATTTTTATCTTTACAACATATTTAAAAATCATCAACATACATATATTAATATATATTATATTGGATCTTTGCTTGATCTAATAGATCAAGCAATATACATATTAACAGTAATCATAGTTACATCTGACCTAATGGGTTACCTGGGCTCCGGCTCGACGTGCAGGAGAAGGAATGGGGTGGTTTTTACTTGAACCCAGGCGGGAGCAGTCATTCGATGATTTTCCCCCTTAAAAAAATCATAGTTACTTCTAACAAAAGTCTTTTTAAATCAAAACAGTCATACCAGACTCTAGGGCTTTCTTTTAGACCATAAAGAGTCTTTTGCAATTTATTGTCCCCCGTTTTATAACCTTCTGGTCTTTATATAGAAAAGATAAAAGATTCTTATAATCAGACGCGTTTTCACCATCAACTTTTTCATATCCTCAATCGGCAATCAGATTTTTTTTTATTTATTTTTTTAAGTTTTACACAATTGAGAAGGAGGACTTAATTCTAACAGCATTCTCTGCCAGTCATCCTTTGGGTAGTGCAGATATGTATGTGCTAGGTGGTACATCATATTCGTCATTTATTGTAGAAACTTAGAAAACACATTTCGGCGCCATGCGATGATACGAAGCAAAGACAAGGAAGCAGGGGGAAACATACTGCACGGTTACCTTCCCAAGGAAAAACTAGATGGCGCTACTTGTATATATAATTTAGATGTTAATGATTATAAAATTTACCTTATTACAACAGATATGAATCTCAATTCAATACTCGTTGAATAATTAGCTGAGTTTGTTGATACTTAATTATTTTATTTAAAGAAACATACCTACCTACCTTATATTCAGAATCTCAGAACCTTATTGCTCTTCTTATTGCCATATAATTATGTAACAGAGTTTGGGCTGTAAACACACATGTTTAAGCAACTATGAATGTATTACTGTATCGTAAGTTCATAGCATTGAATTCATAGCAGGGAATGCCCCTGATTTTTGATACTACTCATATAAGCATAGTTTAAACAGAGCATTTTAAGCTTCCTATGTTAACTCTCTATTTTTTCTGTTTTATAGTATTGATATTCCAGCCAATTTTTTGTTCCTACTCTTTTAACTATAAGTGACACCTACCATACAGTATAACTGTATAGTATTTTAAGTTTTTGTTTGTATTTTTGTTTGTTTTATTTTCTTTAATCTTTTTAAGTGCTTATTTAGGCTTTTTTGTGTAATTGCTGTGATCAAAACTTTTTATTTATTTGTCGTGTGAAAAATGTTATAAATAATATTTATTGAGTTGTATAGACCTGGCACATTCCTAAAGATGATATTGTAAAAAGTATAACCGAATCTCTATTTACATTTTAAGATCTGATTGGATACTGAATCTCATATATGTTTAGTATTTTGTTTTGTAGCCGAATTTGTTAATAAATATACATTAATAATTTTAAAAATGTGAGTGAGGAGAGCTCATTATCGCACTTAGCCTAGGGTCGGTACATATTTATTTAACGTAAAACGTGGTACTTGACGTCACAATCATAATAGACAAATCTATGTATAATTAAATTTAATCTCTACTTGAGAGTATGGAACCTTTTCTGTGTTTGTGTGTCTCGTGGTACAAGTATGATAGGTACGCTTAGCACTTTTTTGTTAAATGTGAACCGACCGTTAACCCCTCAAGTGTATGTATGGCTTATGTGCAGTTTTAGTAAGAGATTTACCTTTAAAACTATAAAGTTTTAAACTATAAAGTTTCAAAGGCAAATCTCTGATATAATGTTATTAAGTCTAACTGCTGGTAGATTTAAATCTACCAACTCAACTTAATAACATTATATTATAGAGATTGAGAACGTGAGTGCGTTTCGCAAAAACTATAGACTGTCACCTCTGCACACTATTATAATTTCCACAGAAATCAGTATTATTACAGTATTGTACTGTTATATTTAACACATTATTCCATGATTTCTTTACTAATAAACACAAGCACTGTAAACACAATGTCTAGTTTTATTTTGCAACCATCATGATTTTAATTATGCGCGTAACTTATGGCGTGATGCGCGGAATATGTTGCGTGGCTTGTGTCAATGCAACATGCAGTTGAGCATCAAATGTTCAGTGGAGACGTGGTAACGCGCAACAAACAAGTGCCGTTTCAGTCAATACATGATTGTCAAAAAATGGAGCCAACACAAATACAGTACCAGATACACAGCAAAACTGTGGAATGATCGTCGTCGGCGGTATTTCCGAACCGATAAGACCTTCAAACTTTCAAGAGAAAAGCGTATTCCTTTTTGAAAGGCCAGTAACGAACCTGTGGCTCCTCTGGTATTGCGGGTTGTCCATGGGCGGCGCTGATCGCTTACCATCAGGTGTTCCGTCTGATTGTTTGCCTCCTATGCCATAAAAAAACCTAGCTACTTATTTATAGGTAATTAATGGGAAGATCAAAACAAAAAACATTGTATCAATAACCCAATTTTATTTAGCAATGTTCAGATTAAACAAATAATGCAAATAGGAAAAAAAATATGAAAAAGTAAACTATTTTGAAATTTGTTCAGAAAAGACACTATCACTAGTATCTACTTACTAAGGTTATGAATATACATAAGTAAAGGTTTTCACAAAAAAACCTAACAGTGAAGGTTGGGTAGGTTTCTTCCCTTGCATTTGTTCACCCATCCGACCCAGGCGTTGAATCCGTGGACACCGAAAATGGTCTTACTGCACTGAGACGCTATTGTGATGTCATCCAGCAACAGATCTAGAACGAACAAATAATATTTAAGTGAGTAGCTGTAAGTAGCCCCTGAGGTAGAAGCCCTAAAATAATAATACTTAGTTATAATGAAGGCACCAAGACTATGGCATACGAAAAAATATCCCCGGAGACATTTATTGGGAAAGCTGTTGAGGTAACGATCCCAATACCACATCCTCACTCACTCCGCAATCCCCACATATCCCCAAAAGGCTGATATCGCTCTTGTAAGTCCTCTGGTGTTACGGGTGGTTTATTTTTTATTTAAGTTTTATACAATTGCATAAGGAGGACTTAATGCTAACAGCATTCTCTACCAGTCATCCTTTGGTTAGTGCAGAAATGTATGTGGTAGGCGGTAAACTGAAAAAAGTGGTCATGGGCGGTATGAGTTGTTTATGATCGAGTAATTCGTCAGCTCATGTGCCGATTATGGAAAGCCTAGGCAATTATCTGCCTTCACTTAGCAGGCAGGTAGACTAGTCAAGCCAGGCTCGAGTAGCCAGTAGCAGCCCGCATCGCGGGTCGCGGAATGCTGCTCATGAATATGAGCCTCAAGCATAGCTTGAAACTAGTCGAGTTCCTCGTCAAATAAATAAGTGAGTAACCCGAAAAACAATATCTAATTAATTTATACTAGTCAGCTATATCTTAATATTTAGTCATGTACTAGGTCTCTAACAACTAGGACCTTAGGAATTAATAATTACCCATGTTTATAATTACTAAGTACCTAAGTAGAGGTAATTAGGTACTCAGATTTTAATTGTGTAATTACTAATTACTTATCCGACAATGAACCGGTTTTCTGACAAGTACCTAGTTAGGTTTTCAGTGTTTAATTGGTTAGATAGAGATGCGAAATCGTATCACTTTTAAAGAACGGGTAATCATCAAATGTATCCTTGTACCCTCGGTGAGCCGGTAGAGAATGTCACACACTTGTCACTTACTGACGACCCAGTTCCAACACCAGCTCCGCCTGTGGTGTACGGTGACGTTACCGAAACAGGGCAGGAGAATCGTGTTATTTAGTGTTCCATATTGTCCCTGATTATTTTAATGGGTGACGTGAAGATACCTTCATAAGTATGTATGTGTGTGTGTATGAGACACAAGTAGATATTTTACCTTTGCAGCGAATGTTGCATCCCTTGCCCGGGTGGTCACCATCGTTGCACCAGTAGCGGTTATTAATTTGGAATAAGCCATAGTCGTGCGAACCATCAGCATTGTTGCCACCAACGACGTGGGTTCGTTTGGAACTCTCCGCTTCGACCAGACACACCCCTAGAAAGGAAAGTCATTGTCATGTTACAAATTACTCTAATTTATTTATCGATCAATTGAAAATCATGGTCTTTGAGGTCATGAACTTAAGTAATCAAAAGCTTAAGAACTGTTTTATCAGGCCCTGCCTTACCTACTTAAAGTATTTCTCAGGTAGGTGGATTAGATTTGATGATAGATGGTCAATTACGTAACGTATTTATTAATCGAGTTAATCAGTTGCTACTTACGACATAATACGAAAGCCTTTCTGAAAGCTTTTTAAAAATAAAATGACGAAGTGAAAAATTTAAATAGATATCAATTAACTAAGTAGGTACTTACAATCCTTAAGTTGATGTTCGGGAAATCCTTGCCTTCTTAACTCCTGGACTAATTCACATTCCGTGAATGTTTTCCCATAGCTTTTTGCAATAAAGCATAAAGCAACAATAAACAGAACGGCGCGCGTCATTTCGGCACTTTACCTCTTCAAGATTTAACCAAGTAACCAATTATTGCGTGTCAAGGGTAACAATATTCGGCTAATTGATAGGCGAAACCTGTTCAAGAAATAACCAAGATTTTTATTCTCTGGTTATTTTTGTACCAAGCTTAAGACAATGCACTTGGGATGAAGGCACCACACTGATGAAAGAAAGTGGACCAGTGCGTTTTTATATGGTTCAGTATTCAACCTATATCCTTATGACACACAGGGAAAGCTAAAATTCTCAAAGAGCAAAATTCCATAGTAGGTACCAATTAGTTTGCCGTTAGGTCTAAAAAACATAAAAAAAACCAGTTGTGTGAGTCTGTTTGTTTGTTTCAACCACAATTATCTTTAATTGAAAACTTAATTGGACTTATGTGATACAATTATTGATTCTTATATTGTAACTCAATGATTTCCTTCACGTGATGTTGTTCAACTTATCGAGAATCTATTGATGTGAAGTCTTTCTTTTAATTATGTTAGAAATTACTATACCTAACAAGAAACCTTATAACGAATGAAGGAAACAAAATGTTGTTCATTTTATTCATTTATTTAGGACATATTCTTAGTAAGTACAAGTAATATTAGTTAAAGGTGTAGTTTCTTAAAATTCTTATCGCAATACTTACGCAATTAACATGAAAATGAAAATAAATAATATAGAGATAATATCTACTTAAAGTACCTAATTACAACATACAAATAAATTTAAAGACGTAATTTATATTATTAAGTGAATCTTTAAGCTCCTTAAGATAACGTTTGTTTTTCAGTGTTGTTTTAACGACTACGATATTTACACAACCACAAGTAACTGCAACAGGTTTTACACTTATTTCCAACACAACGTGAACATTAAATGAACGACGTATAAGGTCGTCTATTTCTCTTCAGTAAAAACGTAGATTTTTCTCGTAGTCTGTTGCGGTGTATAAGGGTGGTAAGGATGCACACACACCGTCCTTTTTGTGAAAAGGAACAGCGACATTCGTCGCGCGAGGCCCACGCCGATATCGATACTCTTGTGTCGTGGTATATCCATCATCGGTAACTCGTCTTCATCCTGTTTGGAGAAACAACTCAATCTTCGAAAACTGTTGCGAAACCTTCCAAATGCTGGTATCACCGCTCTCTGAACGCTCGGTAGTCGTCGTAACAAAGTCTTCTTAGCTTTTTTGTCATCTTTCGCTTCTTTGTTATCATTCGCTTCTTTGCTTGTATACTTATTCTTCTTACGTTTAGTTTCATCAACTTTCACTGATTTTGTATAGATCCCATTAGTTTCAGAGGATACAATCACAGATATGTCTTCTTCAGACATCACTACATTGTTTTATTTTCCACATTTTGTATATACCTTGTTCGCTTATCGGACTAGAGTGAGCTCCTGTCTCAATTTTTGGCATTGATTGAGTGTGACGCAGTTTCGTGATAAGATATTGTCCAGATTACCCACTGTGATTATAGCGACTTGGTTTATAATGATTACACGCTGTAAAAATCTCGTAGAAAAAAGGGTGCGGTATGATTGTTTATAATAGCAATAAATGCAATATTAGAGCTGGTTTGAATGATGTTAATCCTCATAATTTGATTAGCTGATCAAACTATTTCTTTGTGCCCCCTTTGTTCTTTAGATCCCCTGGTACCTAGGAGAAAGGAATATTAATAATTTACCTATATTTTTCTGTTTTAGGTATCTCTTAGTCAAATGTCAATAACGTGTTTTTAGTTTACATTGTTTTGGTTTTTTTTATTATTTACTTAACAAATCTTTACCGAGTCATCCTAACTGCGTAAAATTGACCTTACTTCTAAATTAACAGCTGTAGCAAATGTCTCCCAAATTGCATTTAAGAGCCACAATACATAGCCATAAAAACTGATTACAACCGTAGCCTTGTGTTCAGTAACCGTGAGACAGAACTCTTCCGCAACAAGAACTATTTTTTTAGTAATATTAACTTTTATTGACTTGATTTGTACAGATAAGTTACATTTAGTCTGAATTTGAAGTTACGCAGAGTAAGGAGAGATATGTTTTTTCCCAATAGGCCGTTTACCTTTTTGTTAACATATATCATTTATTCAGTTTTCATTCACCTTCAAACAGTTAACTATTGAACCTACAGTTTAGCTTTTCCTTTTTCTTCTACTTTATTTCGTTAATTTCCATAGTTTCTACCTTTTGATCTCCACAACCCCACTCTGCTATATTAGTTTTTACTGAACCTTTGCTGCACAAGTCTGACTCAACCTTGGCAAATTTTTACTCCATGTCATTTTATGACCTTTGTTGGTGATGCGCGTGTGTGCATTAGATTTAACAATAGATAAAATGGTGACGTATTACTTACATAGTAGTTTAGTTTACCTTAATGAAAATGCCAGACAGGTTCTTTAGCCATGTGTTTACCAGTGAAAAGTAGTTTAGATTGCGTATTTTTTAGTAGAACCATGAAGATTGGAATAACCTGCATAATTTGTCCCCTTAGTGTTACACTGGCCGTAAGCGAGGGTCTGCGGATGGCGAGCATGGGTGGCTCGCCGCCCGACCACAACTAGACCCGAGCGTTACTAAATATGGGTACGCTGTTGCTTCAGAGGCGAATTAAATGACTGAATATAATAGTTAGAGGTGTAAAAGTTCAAATATTCGGACGTATACAGCTATATTGCAAAAATACAACAATATCCGGACCCCGCTAAAAATGAAGCTGACCCCTGATGTATGTTAAAGTGACATTAATTACTTGGACGACATTTATTTCATACCTATTTCTTTAGTTTATCCTGCTTTAGGGGAAAACACCAGTATTTACCCAGACGTTGACTTCTAACGGCCTATTGTGACGAGTTCATGGCCATACACAAAACTGGTGATATAGGAATCTACGACACAATATTCTAGAAACAAGGAAAACACAAATGCAAATTAAACAGGAGACAGACTAGAAGTGAAAACACTAAATGTTTATGCTATAGGTACCTAACAAATCTGCAAAGATAGTCTCGTTGGTAATAAGGTAATTGACAGGGTACGAAAATTAAAAACCTAATTAGTCCGTCACTTAGATAATGAAAAAATATTAATCATGTATTATTTATTTTGTCGTATAATGTTACAAATACAATAAAAACATAGTTAAGTTTAAGAGTGGACGTCACTGCCCCTCTTCCTATAAAATGTAGTAAATCATATCGACACTAGTTATCGATATTTCAAATCAATATATTATTATAGTCCAAAGTGTTTTAATTTTTAAGAAAAAAATACGTGTCTAATGTTTTAACGTTTTCTACCAAGTCGGTCATTAAAATAATATTTAGGAAACGGATATCAAATTGGTTGTTGAAAATACTGGGCTATATTACCTATTGATTTTCAATCATATTAGCAAATAGTACCTATATAGTTTGAAATCGAAAAGCTTTACGCAGTCTAATTGGAAACAACCACCTTGGAATAAGATCATCTTCGAGATTAACCCTTGTGGTAAATGATACAATAAACTCATTGTGGTCATAGTTATGAGGGGTTTTAAAGTTGCTAGTAACTTCTGTAATCATATCGAGGAAAGCAAATTTCTTTTCCATTTAGAAATTATTACCTATAACTATTTAGAATGAAGTAGACATATCGTGTACCTCTAATGAACCTAAAAGTTTGTACTTTATTTGTAAGTCAAGTCACACAACATTAACATAACATAACATCACACCTTTTTATCCCCGAAGGGGTAGGCAGAGGCGCACATTACGGCACTTAATGCCACTGTAACATAACATTAACTATAATAATAAAGAAATCGCAGTAAGGAACCTTAGACTTGGTACGACTTTGTCTAGATTTCATTACTTTTTAGAGTTGAACAAGCGGCTCCATGGAGACTTGGCTAATTTTTTACAAAATGTTTAAATTGGATATATTATATTTAATTTTAATCCTTTTACCTGACCGAAGAAAGGGTATTATTAATACTCCAATTATGGTTTATTAAAGTACTACTAATAACGTAAATACTAAACTAAACTAAAACCTAGTTCTTTTCATTAAAAAAAAAACGCTAACGGTTTCTATAATTACAAAAGTATTCTAAGGTTACAGTAGCACGAACGTCGAAGGAGTTGCTTTTTTAATTTTGTTATTGATCCGTGCTTTGTCACAGTTCCACTACAGTTAATAGTACGGCGGCGCACCCCTAGCCTACTTACAACATAAGTTCACAGCCTTATGCACGAGTTTTCAGTACCTATAAAGTGTCATAAATGAAATATAGCATCCAGTACCTTACACTAATTATTTACTGTTATGGCTGTATCACCAACCACCACTAAAATCCTTACTAATATTATAAATCGGAAAGTGAGTTTGTTTGTTTGTTTGTTTGTTCCGCTTTCACGTCACAACTACTAAATTGATGGCTTTGAATTTTTGCAGATGTATAGTTAGAAGTCCGGATTAAATAATAGGGTACTTTTTATCCCGGAAAAATGTGATATTCCCGAGGGAAAACAAAAGTATTGGTATAGATGGCGCTGTATGAATTGTTATATGTCACATTGGCTTTATATCCTTTTGTGACGCGAGCGAAGCCGCGGGTAAAAGCTAGTAACTCTTAACTAAGAGTTACTTAGCATGAAAGAGTACACACGGCTACACATCAATCTATACAAAACCAGTTTATCCTGGTGTCGCGTCGCATCATCTTTCCGCACATTTAACGTTCAGTTTATGCTGGTTATGTAAAGCTCGATGTGTAGCCGTGTGAACATGAACTAACCCCTTACATATACTATTAGGTTGTCACTTACAGGTTGATGAAAACCAAAACTACACTTAGCTTAGGAAATTCCTTAAAATTTAACAGAGGTCTGTGAAAACAGACATTTGTCTTCTTTTACGTATTCCACTGTAAATACGCACGATATATCTATATCGAGTCGCGGAGAACGTAAAAGGTTGCCGGAGCTCC